CTTCCTCACATCCAGCGTATTTTTAATCGTACGCCGACTAAACTGTTGTACAAAGATTTGCAGTCCCGTATTCCCTAACATAAAGACATACGCCACGAAACGGTTCGGCATGTCCGGAGCGTGGAGAAATCGGCCTTGCACAGACACAGTCGAATGGAAGTCAAATGAAGTCTGAACCTCCTTCGAGGTTCCAGCCGGATTGCGTTGTCTGGCAGCGATAAAATGCATCATTCCTCACCCAATTTCCCTCGTACCTAATTCCCATCGGCCGGATGCAAGAATGTCCTTACTCTAATTACGGCTTAGAGTCATATTGCCCAGAATTGAGGGTTCAGGGCCATTTCTAGGCGTGGGCGATCGCCCCGGGGCGTCAGTTGGGAAATGGGGGGGAGGGGTGGGGGGCGCGCAAAGAAACACGATAATAAAAGCATATTTTGTATGTGTTTGACGTCCACTTTATGCGAACTGGCGCTACTGCGAATTAGCCGTGCAGCCTCCTACCAGCGTACCAGCGAGTCTGATAATCGGGCAGAAGCCCCCTACCTCCCACCCTTCCCCTCGGACAAGCGGCGTGACGCCACGCTGCGACTGGGCAGTGGGTATCGAGTAGGGCTGTCACGATAGATCGATCCATCGATGCCACTTTCAATGGTTGGAGGCATCGATAGTTTTTTTTTCCAACCATCGCGATGTATCGGCTCCATTTTTGAAGGGAAATATCATTAGATTGAGACAGTACAGTCCGTCCGGGTGGGGAAAGGAAGAGGCGGCGTGACCCGCATGAGCGTGCAATTTCTTATCACGATCAAATTCCTGAATTTGTTTTTTTGTTCTGCCATTTCCGGGAACGTGGAACATGCCTAAACTTGTTTGGGAAAGACAATATAAAAAGAAACACGAGAGGAAAGAACTCATCTCGGTCGCTTATGAACGAGGTTTCACAATTCAGTTTCGAGCCATATGAATGAGAAAAATGAAGTACACCTGCAGCAATTTTTTTTTTCTAATCCTGGAATGTAGTGATTTTGTGAAAGGAGCGGGGTTACTTAGAGAATCAAACTGACAGACCCATTTCACAATTCAGTTAGCCGAAGGGCAGTTCTTTCGCAGAGCGGGCTATTTCGCAAATAAAGAAGATCCTCAGACAAAACCCATTAACACCGACCGAGCTGAAGGTCTTCACTCAGGAAAACAGCTTGAAGAGATCTCACTCGGTTCAGCGCGACCGCTGCTGTGCCGTTTCCGCCATCGGTGATGGAACGTTGAAGAAAAACAAAGTTCTAAGTCGGCAATGATGTCTCCCGTTTCTATCATTTTACGTTTGCGGAGCCTATAATACCATACAAATATGACTTAATCACCGCTTTCGCATTGCACTTCACTCGATCATCGTTACTATGATAGAAAACGCATGCAAGTCAATGAGTTCTTGCTTAATAGCTCGTATATTCTAGTATTTAAAGTTTTCCTCTCACATTCAGACTTATACTGTTATGTAATGTATGATATAACTATATTAATGCAATATTTAAAATATATATAGTCATGCTCGCAGATATGATTAGTTAGGGAAACGTGACATCAGCTACACGAACCCCATTGCCCAAATCACTGCCAGGGGGAAGTCCAGGGGCAGGAGAAAGGAAACATTTTGGAAGCGAGAGGAAAAAAGACCTGCGTGAGCGGTGTTGCTGATAAAAATCAGATGAACAAGACTGAAAAACTAGCTTTGCAAGATTCCAATTTCTTCAGAGAGGAAGGAGTAGGGCGTGGAAGAACATCTGGCAACGCTGCATAGGTTTGGCAACGTAGTACTCAGGCCTCTTCTCTTTGGCCTAGGTCTCGTTCCGTTCACTTCTCTGCCAGACAGCCCTTTCCCCCGCAGCTTCTCCATCCCGCTCCCAGCGAATCGGAGCAGGTTAGGCCAGGGAGAGGCTGACCTAGGATGGAACTGCGCATGCTCCGACTTGCCTGCGGGGGGATGCCCGGACCCAGCAGCCCTGTAGCAGATAGCATTCTTTCACCCTTTTCTTATGGCCTTTGCTCGTTTCCAGTACTTCGCCAAACTTACTGAATCTCACGAGGAAGCCAAGATATGCCACAGGCATTCCGAATCTTTGTCGTACAGAAGTTAAGAAGTAAAAATGACTTAAATTCACGGTAACTCTCGGTGATCGCTTTCTTGTCTGCCCCAGACCCGGCCTAACGTGCCTGCCCCGACGCCACTGCCTCTGGGGTCAAGTGCGAGACGCCACCAAGCCTGGAGCCGTTCCCGTTCCTTTCTTTTTGGAAATGGTTGAGTGTTTTTACTTTCTCGGAGCGAGATGATACCTTTTATGGGTTGTGCCTCGTTCATGACACTTCTCTGTCTCGATTCCCATCTAAATGGATGTATACATGTATTTAGAAGACACTCGAGGCTGCGCCACTGTTTCACTAAACCGAATGTGATGTGTGTAGTGCCAGGTTCGTATTCTTTGAGACGGTACCGAGGTACTAAATCTTTATTATTATCTACGAGACTGTCCCATTTCTGTGAAAGCCATTTTTGCTAATGGGTCTCGTCCGAGAATGGCTTTTCTGTAGAACGTCCAGAACCCGTTGATGGAGGAGAATCCACTAACGCAGAAATCAAAACATCACTTCAAAAGGCGATTCCGAAGTTGGAATCCGTAGGTAAATAAGAGACTCTAGGATACGATAAGCGAAGTGGAAGATTGCCGATTGTGGTGCGTCATCCCGGAAGCTTACTGGAACATGAAGTGGCAGGGGACTGAATCACACGCACAAGGCACGTAGGCACGCACAAGGCACGTAGGCACGCACAAGGCACGTAGGCACGCACAAAGCACGTAGGTAGCCACATGCATACCCTAAGAGGAACAACGGAGAGAGAGGGAAAAATGTAAATGAATGCAGGCAGACGGGGTCACAAATGAATCCCTCAGAGGGCTCGAGCAAAAACAAGGTGGACATGGCTTCTTTCGGTTGAGCTACAACTACCGACTTTTTAAACTTTTTTTCGTTTTCTTTAACTGGTGCTTTAGATACCTGAAGCTCAAGAAAAAAGATGCGTTTTAATTCTTCCACGACTGTATTGAGAAAATGGCGCCGAACCCATGGAGGCAAGGGGGCTCGTGTCCCCCCCCCATGATAATATTTGGGGGAATGCCCCCCGATGATTGGCTGAGAAGAGCAAACAGAATTGCACTTTGATCATGGGAAACAATAAATGGTAAAAATAATTTTCCCATTCGTTTAGTGCGCCAACTCCCAGCACCACGTGATAGGCTGGAAGGACGAGGACGCAGGGGCGCAAATTGAAACGCGGAGATGCGGAAGGTTATAAGAGCCTGACGGTGGGGTGGGGATGCCGAGGGGGTTTTAAACATTTTCCAAACCATCGGTGCCAAGCCACAATACGTACAGAATTTCCAATGCAAAAATCGGTGTTCTTTCGAGTAACTCCAACAATGGCGTTCGCAGGCGGGGAAGGGGATGGAGGGACTCGAGGGTCACTCTTGGCTCTCGATAACCCTCAAGGACCTAAGAGGTGCGCGAATCGGCGACAGTAATCATCAAGGCACCGAAATGCTCGTGGAGCCCCTGTTAGTCGTCTCTTCGCTCGGCAACCCACCCCACCCCTCCTCCCCTGCTCATCACTACCAAGCCTACCAAAAGAATTTAAATCATAGAATGATTCGGTTTATGTCATTAAAAGGTCACCAGGACCTTCCCACAAAATATTTTTTTAAGTCGACCCCAAATGCGCCGAGGATTAGAGTTTGAATATCATCCTACAAAAGATCTTGGTGCAGCGAAGGGAAGGAACGATTCCGCATGGGCAATATTCAAGTGAGATCACGATCGCGAGCCGCAATCATCGCCTCACGTGCCAGCATGTAAAGGTTAAGTTGAAATATGAGTGCTTCGACCTGGCCCCATCATAAGCTCTCTAGAATCGCATCAAGTCCTTCCTCCTCCTCCATTTCAAGTTTTTAAATATCTTTTGCAGTAGAACTACGCGTGGGCATGCATGCCCTTCGTTCCGCTTATGAAAGGACTAATTTTTCTAAATGTGAAATGCTAAATTTGATGCCAGTCAAGGACGATAAATCCAATGTATGATATTACCACGCTTCAAAAAAGCTGTACTTCAGTGCGATGCATAAAAAATGGGAGTGATCTAAAAACAGTTTTCAGTTATTGTATTCTTTGGCTTTGCAACTACATGCAAAATGAGTCACGACCAATTTGTCATATTAAAATTGCTACCAAAAGATAATTATGGAGCTTAGCCATCATTAAACATGTCCAACGTGTTTTCCCTAAAAGCGTGCAGAGCGATAATTTAATATCACTTCAGATATTTCCCCCCTCTGAAAATTGTTTCCCGGAGATCCGACAATTTTTTTTTGCACTCTTTGAAAATGGAATTCCTATCATCAGCAAAAAGGCCTACTATCTTTATTCCTTTTATCGAGTTCCCTCGAGTAGCAATTAATCGCATTAACCCATTCGCGTACCGTCTCCGAGACGTGCAGAGGTCTGTTATTATCGATTGAGTTGGTTGTTAGTTAATTATATGGTCGTAGGATGGCATGATATGCCTTCTTTTAGGTTCTAGTAATCTAGTTTTCGCAAATTAAGTGGTATTTCACATCAATTCTTAGTAAGAAAAAATGGTATGCAAATGGGTTAATTGCCGATTTCTATTTTTATATTACGAAAGTGTTACTCGTGTCGCAATGACCGATTTGCAAGTAGAGAGGAATCACTATTACGGCTTTTTAATAATTCCCACCGCAAATATACACTATAATCATTTGTTCTTCGTACACACGTTGCCTTTTCCCTCCACATGCCGAAAAGCGAATGAGTTCGTGGCTGCATCGATGCTACCGATGCTACACTATAGTTGTTTGTGTGACAGTATACATTTGCACCTACTTTTCCAGGAACACGGACACGTCCTCGTTTAAGCACATGGGAAAAAAAAGATGTCGTGATTTCGAAGTGACAAATGATAGTGTTCGCGGTGAGGATTAGTAATTAAAAAAAAACTATTCAAGTCTGGTTGCAATTCCTTCTTACTTGCTAATGCGAATGGGCACGCATGCACACACGTGATCTCTTGCATTCGAACGCATGCAGACACACGTGCCGCATGCCTAGATGTATGTTATCAGACTTGTTTTATCTTTAGAAACGCATCCTCCATGAGTCACAACTTGGAGACCTGGGAGCACGTTAACTCAAGATCACGTGAGGCTGACATTGCGGAATCGACTGGGACGTCAAAGGTCATATTATTGTTTACGTGAGATTACCTACAAACGTGCCCCTCATCCGAGAATCCGTGGAGTGCCCTATGTGCTCACAGAAATTCTGAAGTGTCTCTTCAGATTCACAGATAAACGGTATGAACATAAAGGAGAACAGAATCTCCGTCACTGGGATTCCCTGGGCCAATCGCTAACGGAATGGTGTCGAAGGCGATTCGTTTCACCCTGGGCTTCTGCCTCGTGATCGGGGGGATTTCCTTGCCCTCTGTGAGTGGCTGGGAACGAGAGGCAATATTGGATCCATTGGGCAAGGTGCACTTGGCATGGACACCCCATCTCGAAACCAAGGTCATCGAGTTTGAATACACCGTCCAGACCTTGGGATGGGTGGGGTTGGGATTCTCTCCCACAGGAGGGATGCGAGATTCAGACGTCATCACGGCTTGGATCAAGAACGGACAAGTTTTCTTCAACGTGAGTTCTCTCAACATCTCATAGTACCGAATGCACAACCGTTGTTGATTGGAGGAGTGTGTCCGACTTTGCAGGATAGACACGTGCCTGTAGACCATGAACTTCCGAGAGTAGACGATGTGTCCAATTACAATCTGATTTCTGCTGTGGAAACGGACACAGCGACCATCATTCGATTCTCGAGGGAATTCGACACCTGCGACCTCGAACAGGACTTCCACATCACGGTCAGAATTGCTATCTCCTACGCGTATGGGTGGAAATCATTCTAATCGTGAATTATTAGAGCCAGATCAGTGCATTGTTTGAAACTCTTACCATTTCCACAACCAGTTCATCAGCAGCTGAACCGCGGTTGCACTTTTCATTTTGCACTTAGGGAGACACGATCAAAGTGATATATGCCTACGGAGAAACAGATCCAGATGGAGCGGATCCATATTATCACGGAATCGACAGCAGGGGAACGAAATCCTTGTATCTACTCGACCCTCCACTAGGTGAGCCTGAAAACCCCAACATGGATACAGATGTTAAATTGAATGAAATGGTGACTCATCCAAATGCTACATCGCGTTCACAACAAGGAATTCCATTTGCAAGTTAAAATGAATATACAAACCATGAATCCTAATGCAGCGTTGCAAACTACCGGAACACGAATTTCGATCTCCTGACTTCAAATAGTTTCGAAGTGTTCCTAACAACCTTGGACGAGAAACGTCACAGCACAGCGTCCCCTCCTCATTTACCTTAGGAAAAATAGGGATTGCTCACTTCCGTTGTGATACTAGCTTCCGTTGCCATCGTGACTCTATCTGTTCGTTTTTTTTATTATAGGGTTTGACCTATTTTTCCTTCTTTCCCTTTCGTTGCCAATTCTTTTCCGCGACTTCCATGGATAGAGTCCACAATCTAGGGGCAAGGGGGCATCCCTACCTATTATAAATGCATCATGGGTCGCCTTGATGACTCCTTGTTCCAAAATGTAAGGATTGTTTCATGAAGGTTCTAAATTCTTTTTATATCCTCTATGAAGGCGCTTTCACATGAAAACCATTTCTACAAATGGCTGGACAGTATATTCACGTCGCCTGAGTATAACTCAAGCATAATTTCAAATAAAAAATAAATGAAAAAAAATTATGGTCAAGATGTCAATTCTTATCGATTAATTGGAACGACACACTTGCATGCTATCGTAATAGGTGAGATCCCGGACGATCCTTCGATCAAGGAATGGATTGTGAGCAGCGAAATGGTGATTCCGGAAGTAGATACGACTTATTGGTGCTCCATCCAGAAGACACCCGTAGTGGACGTCACAAACCACATCATCGGCGTGAGTTTAAGCTTAGACGGTTATAGGACGATAAAAAAAAATCCTCTTTCACGACGTCCATCACCACTCGTAATTCACCTTCGTCTTTGGCCAGTACAAGCCGTACGTGAAGCCAGGGAATGAAAAGTACGTGCATCACCTGCTCCTTTACGCCTGCAGCATCCCGGATGAGCTGGTGGACGTGTTCAACTCGTGGGCGGAGCATGACGGGGTCCTGTGCTACGGTCCCGATCACCCTCAGGAATGGTATCTGTGTCGAAGCATACTCATCGCATGGGCTGTGGGTGGTGAGGTACGATGATTTGCTGCTTTCTCAAGTGTTTTTTTCCATTATGTGCCAATTTTCAAGTAATGCAATTAGTTTCAGCTGCATTATGCTCATTAGGAAACATAAGATTCTTAGGTCAAGAAGGCCCTTTACGACGTAAAATCTGATATTGTTCAACCCAAACTGTATTTTAAAAATTGCAGAAGAATACAATGTGTTGTTGTAGCGTCGTAGATTTCAAATAGTATCATGCTCTCTCTTTCTCTCATCGATGCAGTCACCTGCTAATGCCACCGTCGGCTGCTGGCATGCGTCGCTGCTACAAGAGGGGCAATTAGAAATATTATTTGTTTCAGGCTGTAGGCACTGGACGATTTCATCCTGCTCGGGTAGAAATAGGCAGGCATGATGCAAACTAGTTGACTAACCCATGTAAATCGGCCAACAATTCTTCCTTTGGGATAGTAAATATTATTTGTTTCAGGCTGTAGGCACTGGACGATTTCATCCTGCTCGGGTAGAAATAGGCAGGCATGATGCAAACTAGTTGACTAACCCATGTAAATCGGCCAACAATTCTTCCTTTGGGATAGGGAGAGACCTATCCGGAGAACGTGGGATACGTTTTGCCTGAGGGTGGAATGTTCTTCATGATGGAAATGCATTACGATAATCCTGAAATGGAGTCAGGCATCCAGGATGATTCCGGCCTCACCGTCTACTACACGGACGTCCTTCGACCCCTGGAAATGGCCACGCTAGAAGTCGGATCCGCCGTCTACCCTGCAGAGGTCTGTCAACGACTAGTTACGTGTGTTGATCGTGAATAAATTTTCTCCTGCATATCATGAAGCCTCGGAAGGTTGGTCTATTGAGAAAACTTCAGACATGGCGTTGGTTAATCATATGGTTGGTTTAATTTAATGTATTTATTTAAAACTCATTTTTTAACGTACACCTTGGCATAAAAAGTTGCTCCCAGAGTACTGTTTTTTTTTGCATTGAGGTTTACAAACTCACTTGTACCACCAAAAAAAAAACATAAGGCTTCTCCACGATCAAATTTTTATTTTTTAATTCTTATTTTTTGACTGAACTTCTATTATATAATGTTAATTAAAGACGCATCAATTGTATTTGTCTTTGTCATATCTGGGAATGGAATAGATGAAGTCTCATCAACCAAATGCTTGCACTTCTTCATGGGGAAGTTAACCATCATCGAAAGAACTTTTGGACATTGTTCTGTCGTTGCCTTACAAATCACAGAGGTCTGATCGACTCCATACAAATGTACAGATCATCCCATCGAGACAGAAGCAGTTCTTCCATGCCGGCCACTGCAGCTCCCTCTGCACTTCGACCGTCTTCCCGCCCGAAGGGATCCATGTCTTCTCCGGCCTTCTCCATTCTCACTTGATCGGTGGGTTCCATCGAGCATTTGGATCCGTTCTCATTCTGGATCCGCTTTCGGAACGATTCAGAGTTTTGAAACTCTTACCATTTCCACAACCAGTTCATCAGCAGCTGAACCGCGGTTGCACTTTTCATTTTGCACTTAGGGAGACACGATCAAAGTGATATATGCCTACGGAGAAACAGATCCAGATGGAGAGGATCCATATTATCACGGAATCGACAGCAGGGGAACGAAATCCTTGTATCTACTCGACCCTCCACTAGGTGAGCCTGAGATTCTCTTGAGAGATGTATCTGTAAAAAAAAAGTCACCAAGAAGTAGATCTGCCTATCGAAAAAATAGTGAAGACGAGGTGAATCAATGAAACGGCACGAAGGAAAATCACTTGGAGAGAAGGCACTGCGATAAGAGTTAAGGCTAATTCTTATCGGAATTAATCCTGGGATCAATCTAGACCAGGGGTCGGGAACCTATGGCTTATGAGCTGAAAAGTTTGGCTCATGAGTCATGACTAAAAATCACGGTTGTTTCTCGTTTTTATCATGTTCCAAAGAATGCACATATCTATTACCAACTTCAGGAAAATTCTGCTGTTTTTAAAATCTTTGGCTCACGAGCACTTAGGTCAGTCTTAATATGACTGACCTGGCCAAAAAGGTTCCCGACCCACGATCTAGACCCTTCCCTCCCGAACTTAGTGCAATCGACAGTTTCCTTAATGACCCATTTTCAATTTAATTTTTTTTTCTTTTACTGAAGAGCAGATCTTCTCGAATCTTTAATTTCTTGTTTCTCTAACTTCCCTCTCACATCAATAGGCGCGGTAGCGCCTATTACCTTTCTTCAACCCCTTCCCGCCGCAAAATTCAACCTCCTCGTATTCCTGTCTGAGAGGATCAACAGGAACGAATTTGGCATACTTCTTCCTCTCTCACCACGGATTCGCTCCAGGAAATTTGAAGTTCCATCTCCCCGGGGTTGCGGAGAACAAGATGATAAGAAAGATATTGACTCGTAGATGACGAAAATTGACTTTTTTTTTGCTGTTTAGGATGCTCCTTTTCGCCAAAAAAATTAAATTAGCTGTCGTTCAATTAGGCTTAGAGTGCTTGCTCAGTTACAGTCCCCCAGTGTTGCCGGATACCGTGCCGAAGATATCCCAGATTCAAGACTATTTCAACCTTTGTATTAGCGTCTGAATCTTCTATTTTTTTAAGGCATGAGACATTTTTGTGCTGAGTTCATGAGATGAGTTGAGAATGAAGCCGTAGTTAGCAGATATTGATTGATGTGGTGGGATATACAGATATGTTATCTGGACATCCCTGAATTTACAGGATGGCGCGTACCGTGGATTCCATGCTGCTTGAGGGCATTCTCTCCTCAGACATATTCGAGATTGGTGAGAAACTCCAGATAGGCCTAACGTTCCACGTCCCACTGAAATGGTTCATGAAATGTGAATCAGGCCTCTAATCGGTCTAACGCTAAACGTCCACTCTGAAATGGTTCATGAACATATGATTAGGCCTGCGATTGGCCTAACGTGACACGTCCTCAACCAGATGTCTGGAAGACCGCGATTCACCCTTATAGGTGTAACTGGCGCTATAAGTCCAGAATTGAGTTTCAAGATTCAAGATAGTTAGTGATATCAAGAGGCGATTTCGCCCATT